ATTACTAAAATTTTAAAATGATAGAATTACGTTACTTTTTAAATAAAATTTCCAATTTTTTGAAAAGCCCAGATAGCCCTTCTGCATGGTAATACTTGGCACTAAAATCAAACGTTTTTAACACTTGGACATTAGTCCAAATGTGTAGCTGCAACACTGTTTTTCCTTATCTGCCCTATTTGGACTTTTTAAATTCTTTGAAGATGAAAGGTCTATCACCTTTTCTTTTTTGCTGGGAAAGTAGTATTTCTCAAATATTTCAAGTTTCAAACTAGTTTGAATAAAAGTATGTCAAACTGACTTATCTGGATGTCTGGAAGTAGTACAGCAGAACTCCAAGGTTGCTGAACTCCATGAGTGGCTCGGTTCTCTGAATCTTCCCCTCAGCTGTGCCCTCCTCAGAGTGTTGTCTGTAATCATTCTTTGCCTTCACATCCACAGAACACTCCTTTTGAAATAAAGAAACTTCTTTCACAAAAGATAAGAGCAATCTACATTCCCCTACTCAGTTACTCAGCTAAATTGCTAACTACATCAGTCTAGATTCCTGAACTAATCAACATGGGAAAGGAGCTGGCTAATCATGCCAACCTAAAAACTGTGGGTTAGAGATCTGTTTTCTAGGAAACGTATGTGGCAGTGGTTCTCAAACTTGAAGCAATTGTCCTCGACCATTGGAGTCACCTGGAGAACTTTTATTAAATCCCCCAATAGCAAGCTGTACCTGAAACCACTTAAATCAGAATTTCTGGGAGTGCCACCCAGACTTCAGCATTTAAAGTTCCCCAGGTGATTACAATGGGCAGTTAAGTTTCAGACCCACTCACATAAGATTAGGTGGAGTCCACAATGAAAATCAGGATAATATTAGAGAAACAGGAGAAAAATAAATACTACATAGTTAATAGTATACATTATATGACCATCAACTACGAAGTCAAACTTCATGGCAAATATATAATAAAGTCTTGAAGAAAACTTTATGGAAACAACACATAAGGAGAAAATAAAGTATAGGAGAATACTTTAAGGTGAGAGCCCTTCACCCCCCCCCCCCCCTTGCTGTGTGTGTTCAGAGGTAATCCTTAAAGGCAGATTTATGTTCTCTCTTTTTGCTGAGCCTTACAGGCATCTCTCAAACTGCTAACTCCTTATATCTACTTGAATATCAAGTTTCTCCAATTTAGATCACAACTCTGCATCACTCTTCAATACCCCAACCTATACCTCTCCTCCCAGTATTCGATCCTAATTAACAGCGCCAGAAATTCAGGCCAAAAACCTAGGAATTCACTCTTGTCTTAAAGCATGTTCATCAAAACCGATCAATTGTACTTCGAAAATATAAGCTTAACCCAAACATTACTTACCATCTCATTACTGTACTATACTTCGTCTACATTACCCAGTGATTTCATAATGCTTTAGCATGCATCGGCATCACCCAGAGGCCTTAACAATTATTGGGGTATGAAACTTTCATTTTTAATGAATTCTCAGGTAGTGCTGATGTCGTTCTGCACGCCAGACTTTCCACTGCTCTAGACCACAGCACTGCAATCGCTTCCTAATTGGTTTGTTTCTGGCGTGGACAGCCTGGGCCCTATCATTCACGGGGCACACTGAGTAACCTATTCAGATACTTGCCACAGTCAAACCACTTCCCAAAGCACTATGAACCAACTCTCGTGCCATTCTACCCCGTTTACAATTCCCCAGCCAGACACGCTTAAGTGTAAACATTCATACTTAAGGAGTATGAACTCAAACGTAAAGCGTTTTGTAGAAGAGAAAGCGGAAAATCAAAGGAGGTAGCAAAAGACCATACAGAGGGAGGCAGCTTCTTTCACTGAGAAGGTGGGTGGCTCTGAAAAGAGCCTTTGGAGTCAAGCGGCCGGCGAGTCGCGCGAGCGCCATGTCCCGGCGGGGACTCACTTGGAGCTGGTGTACTTGGTGACCGCCTTGGTGCCCTCGGACACGGCATGCTTGGCCAGCTCGCCGGGCAGCAGCAGGCGCACGGCCGTCTGGATCTCCCGGGACGTGATGGTGGAGCGCTTGTTGTAATGCGCCAGGCGGGACGCCTCGCCCGCGATGCGCTCGAAGATGTCGTTGACGAACGAGTTCATGATGCCCATGGCCTTAGACGAGATGCCGGTGTCGGGGTGCACCTGCTTCAGCACCTTGTACACGTAGATGGAGTAGCTCTCCTTGCGGCTGCGCTTGCGCTTCCTGCCGTCCTTCTTCTGGGCTTTGGTGACCGCTTTCTTCGAGCCCTTCTTGGGCGCGGGAGCGGATTTTGCCGGCTCCGGCATAGCGGTGAAGCTCGGGCAGCCGAGACGACCGGGAACGCAAACAAAACGGTAGAACCAAGGCTGCCGGAAGCGACTCGGTACTTAAAAAGGCTGCACGCAAATTAAGGTTCTGATTACGCTGCGCTGTGATTGGCGAGTTTTCGGTGGCGCTCCTGCGAGGGAGACGGGATTATGTAAATTAAGGATTCTGGCTGAGCTACTCCATTGGTCAACAGGGCAAAGCTCTGCTTTAGCCAATCAAAGTGCACCGTAGACAATCGCCGTTCTGCCTATAAAAAGGTGAGGCGGGGCGGCCGAGGGCGACACTCTTGGTTGCCAGGGGGCTGGGTTTCTGTTCGCAAGTGACTGGCGCCGTTATGTCTGGCCGTGGCAAGCAAGGAGGTAAGGCCCGTGCTAAGGCCAAGTCGCGCTCGTCCCGCGCCGGCCTTCAGTTCCCGGTAGGGCGAGTGCACCGCCTGCTGCGTAAAGGCAACTACGCTGAGCGGGTAGGGGCCGGCGCGCCGGTCTACATGGCAGCGGTGCTCGAGTACCTGACGGCGGAAATCCTGGAGCTGGCGGGCAACGCGGCCCGAGACAACAAGAAGACGCGCATCATCCCCCGTCATCTCCAGCTGGCCATCCGCAACGACGAGGAGCTGAACAAGCTGTTGGGCAAAGTCACCATCGCCCAGGGCGGCGTTTTGCCCAACATCCAGGCAGTGTTGCTGCCTAAGAAGACGGAGAGTCACCACAAGGCGAAGGGCAAGTGAGGCTAGAGCGTCCGGAAGGAAGCCCATGCAGCCCCCGTCTCAAAAGGGGCGCCTGTGAAATCAAAAGGCTCTTTTAAGAGCCACCCACTCCTTCAGATGGAGAGTTGTAAACGGTAGCCACGCTCAATTCCTTTTCTCTCACTGGCGAGTGTCGAGGCCGGACGTGGGGGCGGTGTTATTTGCCCTCTACTCCCAAGCCGCTCTCCCCCCATCTCGTCTTGAACACTTTAGCCATCTTCATTTTGTTTTGTCGGGTCGTTAAGCGGTATTTAATGTAGGTAAAGGCGCCGACGCCTTAGCCGTGCGCGCCTCCCCGAGTTGCTGCCGAGGCACTCGCCTAACGCGCGCACACAGCACGTACACCCCAGACGGTGGGACAGCCAGCAGTTTTGGCGAGTGTGGCTGACCTTGGGTCTAGGCTCGGCTTTTTTCGTTTAAAACACGGAATCTTGCGCCCCGGGGCGGGGATGGGGTGGGAGAGGGAGCGGACAACCTTCCGATCCGAAAGGCGGGAAAAAACGATGCGTCAGACAGGGCAGGTAAGGTAAGCGAACTCCGGAAGAGTAGCAAGGCGTTCTGCCGGCAAGGGACAAACAGAAGATCTGGGGTTCGTTTCAGTTCGGCAGCTGCAAAGTGAGGGAAGGAAGAGGGTATCGCGGATAGCGTGTTAATCCAAGGGAGTGTGGGGCTGAGGAGTGAACCCTGACGCAGCTGGGATCGAAAAGGAGGGACTCTGGCCTCGAACGAAAGGGAAAACAAGGTAGGGAACAGCCCCTGGCAAACGGCAGAAGTGGAAAGTGGGGTGGGGCGGGGCGGCGTGGGGTGGGGTGGGGTGGGCGGGCGGGATAGGGAGGATTGAACCCAAACCAATCAGTGGTGCGGTGTCGATGACGTCACAGCCAATCGCCCGCCAGCGCGGGACTTTCAATTGTTGTCCCGCCCAATGGGGAAAAGACTGTGCCTATAAAGACCGCTGCCTGGGCCTGCACCTCGTTAGTCTCCCTGCGCAGCTTGTGGTTTAGTGTGCCATGGCCCGCACAAAGCAGACCGCCCGCAAGTCGACCGGTGGCAAGGCTCCGCGGAAGCAGCTGGCCACCAAGGCGGCCCGCAAGAGCGCGCCGGCCACGGGCGGCGTGAAGAAGCCGCACCGCTACCGGCCGGGCACCGTGGCCCTGCGGGAGATACGGCGCTACCAAAAGTCTACCGAGCTGCTGATCCGCAAGCTGCCCTTCCAGAGGCTGGTGCGCGAGATCGCGCAGGACTTCAAGACGGACCTGCGCTTCCAGAGTTCCGCCGTGATGGCGCTGCAGGAGGCGAGCGAGGCCTACCTGGTGGGGCTGTTCGAAGACACAAACCTGTGCGCCATCCACGCCAAGCGCGTGACCATCATGCCCAAAGACATCCAGCTAGCCCGCCGCATCCGCGGGGAGCGGGCTTAGAAAGTGCGCTCTCGCCTCGAGGTTCCATCATATCCAAAGGCTCTTTTCAGAGCCACCCACAAGCAGCACTTGGAAGAAGCTGTGCCTACACGCTCTGTGTGCGCCCTTAGGGCGTACTGCTCTATGCGCCGGGAGGGGAGGGCATTGGAGCGGGGGAGGTAAGACGTTGGTCTCCCAGCAGATAAGACCAAAGGCCAGGCGTCAGGCATAGCCGCCTTCTGGGGTCCGCTCTGACCTTTGCACAGGAGTTCGGTCAGCCGCTTGCGTGACCTGGACTGCCGGGGTCGCCGCGCCGCTGCTTTTCCTGGGTTCGCCGCCTTCCGAGGCGGCTGTGGGCCGGCCCTCCCGCCGCAGCGGGCTCGCGCGCTTCCGTGTTCAGGCGCTTTTTCGCACGACTAAATTACAAACACGGCACGGTCGGCAGGAGCCTCGGTGTCGACGATGGGCTGAGACCCGGAGGAGTCACTAGGGGACGCACGGCCTGGCCTCAGCGGCGCAGAGCTGCGCGCCCGCGACCTCCTGCCCTACCCCACACCCGGAAGTAGCCCCACCCCGAGCGGCTCTCCTGCTGGGAAGGGGAGATCGCCGCCTTCCTGTCGCCGGGTTTCGGCCGGGTCAAGTTCGGAATTTCTGCGCTCGGGTGTCGGTGATTACCCCGCTTCTCTGGCCGTTTGGGGTATCACTGCCTACTCGGCTCCTAGGCAAAATCCGACGGTGAGGGCGTGTGGGTAAAATTGTATTTCCAGAGTATCTCGCCTGGCTTTAGTACATCTGCACATCAGTAGGTGTTCAAAGGTGGAGAGAAGTACGGCTTTACTGCGTTTGCATCATTCCTCAGGGGTGGAGAGAAGTTATTCTCCATTTCGCTGTACGCGAAAGGGGAGGGGAGGGCCGGTTTTGCTTCTGCTGGAGCAGGAAAGCGTGAAGGGTCCCCGGACTGCGCTTTGTAAGCAATAAACGGATTTTCTAACTTTATTCCTCCCTTTGACTCGTTTCGGTTTTTAGAGCCGTGGTTTCCTTTCCCCGGACTTACAGGGCGGCACAGTAGGGTGTGTGGACAGACCTTGACTGGGTCTTGATCGGACCGTTCCTTGCGGTTGTCCACAGGAGTACTCTGTCCAGGCGTTGGCAAATAAATACCTTTGACCTGTGTCTGGATTTCCTCACCAGACTTGGTATTTCTCTACGTGTTTTTTTTCTTTTCTTTTCTTTTTCCTTTCAGTCGCGGGAACTCTTGTTTTCAGGTACTTGAGGGATTATGTAGAGAAAGCATAGATGGACGGCTCTGAATTCAAGTTCTCGGGAAGAGACATCAAACAGGCAGAACATGGTCTTCCTTTGGGGAGATGAATTTCCCCACTATTGGGAAATAGTGAGGGTGGAGGCCTTAGGAGTGATTCTTGTACCATTTGGGAGGTGGAAGTGCAAGGCCTCTTAGTGGGTTTGGGGGAGTAGGGCAGGGTCTTGCAGAGCCCATCTCCGCAGAGCTCAGTTACAAAGGCTGTACATGACTTTAGAGAACACCTCTTCTCAACCGTCTAAGTCACTTATTCGGACCCAGAAGAGGCCAAGGCATGTTTTCTGTTTTGTCTCGGCACAGTGACCAGGTTAAAAGCATTCATTGCAGAGATCAGTGAGAATTCACAGAGGGCGAGAAGGAGAAAGGAAAGAAACTTTGGCTTTTAAAGCTCCCAGTACCTCTCCTGAGATGTGTCAGAAAAGAGGAAAGCAGTGTAGGGACTGCGGCCCCCTATTAAAGGTTGCCACATTTTTCTGCTCCAGAGTCACAGCAATTTTCAGAGCATGCCTCTGGGTCTCTCTCTGTTCAGGCCCTCGTTCTCTGCTTGGGCCCCCAAATGCAGGATGGGTCTGTTAGGAAGGAAAGGACTCGGCTCGGTGTCACAGGGAAGTCAGATATAGTGAGACGAGACGAGAGACCAAAGTCAAGAAAGCAAAGTAAGTTTTAATACAGTCTGCATAGAGTAACAGAGCGGGCCTCCCTAAGGTGAGACAGGCAGGCGTGGATGCTCATTCTGAGGTTTCTTTTCTGTGGTTTTTGGCAGGGCAGAGAGGTCCCCAATTGACAGCTGTCGGCTCTCTAGGCTTATTCTGATTGGCGAAATGGGGACAGGGGCTGTGCTGTGCCTGTGCCTCTGATGTTTCTTATCAGCTGGGGGGACCCTGGACATTTCCTGAGTCGCTCTTGGACCCCGTGGCTTCATCTGATTAACTCTCTGAGTCATTTCTGGCTCCCTGGTTCCATTTGATCAACTCCTTGAGCCATCTTTGGGGAGCCCTTTCTCCTTTCCATCTCGCTCATTTCTGTCTTTCTGCCTAACAGGTCCACGGGCCTGGGCCTGTACTCTCTGACTTGAGAAGTAGCAACTTTGCACCCATCAATCTCATCCAGCCTTGTGGCAAACCGTTCAGGAACAGAGGAACATAGGGCTTTCTGAGGTACATTCTGAGGCTCTCAAGTGAGTGACTTGTCCAGCACCTTTGGCCCAAGAGCAGCTAAACCAGACCTTTTGGAACCTGCGATGTTAGTGTCAGGTGTCAGTCCTCTACAGCCTCTTCCTGCCCTGCCCCCCAAATCACAGTACTTTAACTTACCAGTCTGAGCACCTCTGACATCCAGGAAGTCTCCCTGTCTGGATCCCAAAGGGAAATTTAGTGGCATTGTTGATGTATTCCTGTCACTGTAAAGGCCTACCATCAGCAATCTTTCAAATCCACTTGGGAGACCTGCATAAACTGAGTTCATCGATACAAGATAATGACTTAAAATGTGAGTTTTAGTATTTAATCATTTCTGTACTTAAATGATTCTTTACTCTCAGTTGAGAGTTAAAGGATAATTAAGGACACAGTAAATACATGCTCTTCCTCTAATAATTAGCTTCTGCATGGCCAGTGTGGCTGCAGGAAAAGTCCACCCTGA